TCAGTGTCTCTGTTCAGGGACAGTTAAACTTCTCCAGTGTTCCCCAATGCATGCTGGACCTGGTCTGGTTTTCAGCATTTTCTGTATGTTTGTTTTGTTTTGTTTTTGTTTGTTCATTTTAGGGTATATCTCAGAGGTGTTATGTCAATGCAGGTCACCTTCTCAAAGTTGTGTTATATTTTTCTGTTGTTTTTTTTTTTTGTATATGAAACTCAGCATTGATGAACCTGTAAGGACAGCAAGTAGAATAAGGGTTTTGGAGGGAGGTTGGAGGGTAGGGGTCAGGAGAGGGAAGCTGCGTACAGTAGTGGTGGTGGTGGGGTCAAAGGGAGACAATGTTAACGAGTCCAGGAAGAAATAGAATGTTTGGAAACATTGTGGTGGCAATTGCACAATTCTGCTTGATGTGATTGAACTATGAAATGATAATTATGTATTAACTCCCAGTAAATTAAAAAAAAAAAGGACAAATAACATTTTAAAAAATCAGCCACACCAGCTGTTTTACACTATGAAAAATGTCCAATTGCATTGTTGTCTTTCAAAAGTTCTGTCTTAGTTTGAATAGATAGGTGTTCAGGATTTTTGAAATTTAATATTAGACTAAAAGCTTTTAAATAAAATTACCAAATTGTTTAGGTCAGTCATAAGATTGATTCATAGATAAAATTCCATAATAGAGTTCCTTGTTTTCCTTTTATCATTTTCTTTGGCCTTTTGACATTCTGGAGGATTGCTTTGCCTCAGTCATTAGTCTGGCTCACTAATTTACCTTAAATGCATCTACTCCTATATGTCTATTGAGGCTTTTGGCTTCGATCAGCCTATTATTCCCTTTTGAAATTCTCTAATAATTTTCCCCCGTAATTGCCTATTTCTTTTTTCTTGAATATGCTATTCTCCAATCTTCCTCTGAGGATATTAATTAGATAATTTTTTTATACAGTAACAATCAACATATATGAACACTTTGTTGTGTATTAGACACAATTTTCAGCTTTATACATTCTTTGATCATTTTAACAACCTCAAAATGTAGGTATAATTTTTGCTCCATTTTACAATAGAGAAAACTAAGGCACAGCAAAGTTTTAAAATTTCCCCAGTGCCTCATTGCTTATAAGAGCCAGTGCCATGATTCATGTCTAGTTAGTTTGGACCCGGGTCCTACTCTTAACCACTAAACTATACTACTTTAGACATGCTTAGGTCTGTTACTTATTTATTTAAATGCTATGTCTTCCTCAGTGTTTTTACATAAATATTTACTTATTCCACTTTATGTACTGAACTTTGTACTTGAGATTTCCTTTCAACATATTTGAAACACTTTACTATAGCCTACTCTCTTGGATTGTGTGTAAGTGCTATGGGAGGAGGTATTCTGCCAAGTATAGTCTAGCAGGCTCCTGAGAGTTTGTTCTGGTTGGGTGCCATCCATTGAGTTTTGTTACCTCTCCATTTAAATATCCACACCTACTCTTCCAGGGTGAGTGTTGGAATTTTATTTGGTGGGTCAGACTTTTCTCAACAAGGTATTATTTTAATTGAGAGTAGCAATCTTTTAAAAGTACCAAAATAAAAGGTAGATGTGGTATCTCCGTTTTACAGTTATTAAATACATTGTTAGCTCAGCTTATCTTTGTGTTTGTGGATCTCATTTGGAAGAGATGGACTAAAGTAGATGATAAGTGAAGGTAGTTCATCTTTTAACATCAGATTGATGAGCTAATGACAGACAACATGTAGAGTATTTCCTGAGAAATCTGCACACAAAGTGGTTCTGGACATTACAACTAAAGTAGAAGAACCACAGGAGAGGAAAAACTCCCAAGCCAGCGTACCTATAGACTAGAGCGTGGGCCTGACAAGAAAAATGCAGGACTGCACCTTTTGCTTAGGTGATACTTTTAGGACTTTGTGGCTTAGAAGACTAAGGGCTTAATAGAGACTGAAGTGACTTCTTTGAATCATTGTAATCTTCTGCAGAAAAATTTTCCTTTTAATATTATTTTGAATTTAAAATTTTACATTAGATATTAATTTTTTATGTGCCTGCAAACTCAAACTCGCGCCATTGAGTATTGATTTTAACTCATTTGCAGAACAGCCTCATCTTTCTCCCATGCAGCGTGTAGTGGGTTTGAACTCTCACCTTGTAGTTACAGCCTACTGTCTAACTGACAGTGACACCAGGGCTCCCTAATACTCCCACTGTGGTGTTCCTGAACAGTGCACACTGTTAACATGCTCAGCTGCTAACTGGAAGGTTGGACGTTTGAGGCCACCCAGAAGTTCCAAATGAAAGCCTTGGTGATCTACTTCTGAAAATCAACTGTTGAAAAAACTGCTGTGCAGGTGAAGCCACTGTGAGTCAGAATGTACTCAATGACAGCAATGCGTGTGGGGAATACACCCCCCCCCCCATTAGTGTGATTGAGATTCTGTACAAACTGGAGAGGGGAGACAGTTGTTTTGTACTCTTATTTGCATTTCATTTGCTCATGAGCCAACAGATTTTCTTTCTCCCCATCTCTTCTGTGATAATCTTTTTTTCTTCTGTGCAAGCTCCTTTCCAGCAAGGATTGCCTTGATGGCAGGAGAGCTGATGTGTGGGTTAATATGACACGGACCCTGGAAGTATGGCAGTACATATTGGGGACCTTGATAATCCTCAGTAGTCTCAACCACTTTTAAGTGTATGCAGCAGAAATTCACAGCATTCTCTTTGGGGCTACTCTGTCCTACTATATTGTTTGACCTAGGTATGCCTACCAACTCCACCTACTATTGTAATCTTGGAACAGATGCATGCTTTTGTAACAAGAAATCATTCAGGTATTTGGTGGCTTATGGGATATAAACACCCATCATGACCTGGGTATTTTCACAAGTGGTGTTAAAATGGTCCTGAAGATATGAACTTCTGATTTTTGTTTAGTTTTGTATTGGGGATCAACTGAATAGTCAGCTGTTTCAAGAGATAATTACAGGCCTTTCACTGTAAGAGAGCTAGCCAAGCTTTTATTTTTTTTGAGGGGGGGTTATATATACCCCTTTATTCTGCCCCCTTTCCACTTGGAAAAACATTTTTTTAATATGGAATGCTTCACAAATGTGTGTGTTGTCTTGCGCAGGGGCCATGCTAATCTCTGTATCATTTCCACTTGGAAAGTTCTTATGAGTATTATGATCATGGACTTATTTTATTAGTTTCAGATTCCTTGAGTTGTGGGGGGGGGGCAAAATCTGATTCTGAATAGTTTAAGTGGAAGCGAAAATATATTGGAAGGATAATAAGATGTATCATATTCTCCAAGGGAGAAAAACCAAGTTTCCAGCACAGATTACCAGATACCTTTAGGAATACCTCAGTTGCAAGAATTTATTAAATTTTCTCCATGCTGTCGTTAATGTAACTCAGTTACTGCGATTCGGTTTCTGGATCTTTATAAATTCCATACTGTTAGTAAAAAAGGAAAAAAAATACAGCTTGGTGGTGGTGGTGGTGGTGGTGGTGGTAGGCAGGCATGAGGAAGAGGGGTAGGGTTTAGTTCTGCTCTGAAAAGGTCTTACTCTAGGAGTAGGGGCTCTGGTGTCACAACTTAGGGTTGCTAACCAGGAAGCTGGTGGCTCAAACCCACCAGTTGCTCCATGCAAAAAAGACAAGGTTGTCTGTTCCCCCAAGAGTTACAGTCTTGGAAACGCTGAGGAGCAGTTGTGCTCTGTCCTATAAGGTCACTATAAGTTGGGATTGACTTGATGGCAATGGATTCGGTTTTGTTAATTTACTAAGAATGGTATTTATGGTTTAAGTAATTCCAGCAAGGCTGTTAGAGACTCAACCCTAAGCTCAGAAAGCAGTTCTCAAAGAAGGAACGATACTTTGAGTCTAACAGGTGTCTGTTACCTAAAAATGACGAATTAAGCATGTAGCATTCAATTTGAATGAATTATTTAGTGATGTCCCGGAAATCAGTGTGTTTGGCAGAGAACTTGAGAATTGTTAAATGCTGTGTTGATTAGTGTTACTGTGTTTGCTTTGTAACAAATTATCTGTGAAAGTGGCAGATCTTTCCTTTTATTTAGAATCTTTATCTGACAACCATTAACAAGGCTATTGGAAGAATTTTAATTAATTTATATTTCCAGACCACTTTATTAGGCGCTAATCTAGACAGCATACCATTCCATAGTTCAGTCATATCAAGAAGTGTTGTCCAATTGTTACCCAAATTAGTTTCAAAACTTTTTCTTCCTTCTGGAACTCCTTGACATTAGCTCCCCCTAATCCCTCCCACCCCCACATACACCTGAAGCCTTGTTCTAATTGTTGTCCCTGTAAATTCACCTATCCTGAGTTTCATGTACCAAAATACATAGAGAGACACGTAACAGAGTCGAGAAGGCTGCCAACAGTGACAAAATACAACAGAGAGAAATCCCAATATGAAAAAAACAAAAAAACCCACAGAAAATATTAAAAACCATATCAAGCCCAAAGTGTTTTATAAGGGAGACCAAAGGACAATGTTTTAACCGTTCAACTCAGATTTATCATTTTAATCTCCTGTAGTCCTCTCTCCAATACTCTGATAACCAGATTATTCTCATCCCTCAAATTTGGTTAGAAGGAAATCATCGGAGGCTTATTTTAAATGTATCCTCCACTCTTGCCTGGTTTTCTTTTAAAAGAGGCTTAGATTTATTGTTTTATATTGTTTAGTGTTTTTACTATATGTCTAATTTTAATAACTTTCTAAACTTATATAAACAATACCTATCAATGGGAAAATAGAGAAACACACCAAGAAAGCAAAAGTTGTCCTTAATCGCATTATCAAAGTGTTTTAGATATTTTCTAGTCTTTCTTCTCAGTATAAAAGAAGGGTGCTTATTTAAGTCAAACTTTAATTATAGATGTTTACCTTTTTGGAGAAGACACACTACCTCTTAACAGATTTTGCCTTTGGTTCTTTACCTAGGTGGAGTTGGTTGGCTGGTTTGGAGCAGGTTGTCTTTGGTTTAGAAGAGATTCACATCAGTGGTTCCAATAGGTAGGTTTCTGTCAAACCAGGCAGCGCCAGTAGCTCTAGAAGGCGTCTTAACAGGACCTTTTTTTGTTTCTTAGCCGCCCTCCCACTTGAGCAGACACCCTAGGTTACTGGGACAAGCACATCGGAGCTAGAGACCTTGGAGGGTGCACTGGAAACTCTGGCTGCTTGACTTTCACTCTAGCTTTACTGTATATGAAGAATTGAGAGGGTTGCATGAAATCATTTGTAATCACTTTACATTACTCTTTGTATGGAGGCACCCCAATTTTCTTCTTATAGAACATTGACCTTACCTACATTTAAAAAAAATTTCACTTTAGCTTGCTTTTTAAAAAATGGCAATGATTGTACTTAAAAAGTTATAGTTTAAGTATAGTAATTATGACCCAAAGCCCATTCCACCACTATTGAATTGAGTTCAACTCATGAGATCCTGCATAGGGTTTCTGAGACTGTAAATCTGATGAGAGCAAACAGCCTCATCTTTCTCCCATGAACGACTGGTGGGTTAGCCCAGTGCTGGATCCACAGTGCCACTAGGGCTTCCTGATACTCAGTACAGAGGTTAATAAAATGGGAAATCAAAGTGCCCAGGAATAATAACAGTTAAGTGCCTTTAAGATTTGTGGGGGGTCAGGATCATCATAATATGCAATCTGATTTTTTGCTTAATGGAAAATCAGCTACTTCTGTGATAATGGCAGCTCTGTTAATATATGTGATTTACATTGACCACATATGATTGTATTTCTTTGCTGAGGAAATGACGTGGGTGCCACACCTGACCTCTTCCAGCTACACAAGGGGGAAAGAGACTCACGTTCCATACCAGCCCAGTGCTGATTCCCACAAGGCAAGTCAGACATGCTTCCACTTTGCAACTTCTTTTCCCCTACTACTCTGAGTAAACATCTCTGCTGGGTTCAATAGTCCACTGCAAATTGCCACACAGAACTCGCAGACAGTTCTCACAATTATGGGGGTGTACTCAGGACGTTACAAATCAGGACCCAAAAAGGAAGTAATCTCTAAAATATGTAGAAAATTTCAACACTTCAATAACAAAAAAAAACAACAAATAATTCAATTGAAAAATGGGCAGGGGACCAAGAAAACACATGAAGAAATGCTTCCAATCATTATCCCTCACAGAGATGCAAATCAAAGCAGCAATGAGATGTGGTCTGGACCCAAGCATTAATGGCTGCATTCTCTTGCACACGGTCTCCACTTTTTCATCTAGGTTCTAATATGTGTTGCAGTAGTTACACAAAACTCAAAACAGTAGTCATTATTAAAGGGTTTATCAAGGAAGTTAACAAGTTATAATGGAAGTAAGAAATGGTGTGGATCAATTGTTTATCAGGACATGTTACGAAGTTCTTTCTTTCAGGGGTGGTAAGAAATGCCCAAAGGGCATGCCACTCCACTACAAACCTCAACCCAAAGGCATTCAGCTCAAGCTCTCTAGGTTTACAGACCCAGATCTCCCAAATTAAGTGCCCAGAAACACCGCACTCCAGTAAGCCACAATCTGAAGGCACTCATCTCAGCCTCCATGAGTCAGCAAATCCAAACTCCTGGAAGTAAACTTGCAGTGGCACCCGCTCAAGTATGCCTCAGCTTGAAGACACTCAACTCTACATCCGTGATTCAGCAACTCCAACTCCTCCAGTTCATGCCCGGAGGCACTTACTCCAAAAGTCAGCCTCCTGTTCCAAAGTTCTCAGCTTTACTTGCTTTGTGGCCTGGGGAGTCCACCCCTGTGCTTTGTGCTCCGACTCTGTTTCTATTTCCACTGCTCTGTCGTCACAGCTCTCTTCTGGATCAGGGAGGTTCATTGCACAGAGATCTCAGGATTCAGAAGATGCGTTTCACTCCTGGATCTTATTGGTAGCGAGATCCTCTCTCCTGCTTCGTGGAGGGCTCATTTTATATCCAGCACATTGACACTCACATGAATCCTGTTAACAATTACTCACAGGTGAATCCTAATGAGTGTCTGCCCCTCACCCTCTTACCCACACCCTTCAAGGTAAAGGTCGCTTGGTGGAAGTTATGGAGACTTTGGTAGAAGAGCCACATTAGATCATTCACTGTCCCAGCAACAGCAAAGCTCAAACAAAGCAAGACGGCAAATACTGGCAAAGGCAGAGAGACTGCAGCCGTCATACACTGCTGGTGGGATTGTAAAATGATACAACCACTATGAAAAGCAGTATGGTACATCTTTAAAAAGTGAGAAGTAGCTTATAATCCTGTAATCCTCCTGTTAGGTCTATATCCTAGAGAAATGAGAGCTGTGACATTACTAGATAGATATATGAGCACACCCATTTATCACGGCACTGTTCCCAATAGCAAAATGATGGAACCCACCTAAATGCCCATTGACAAGTGAATGGATAAGCAAACATGCACACACACGATGAAATGAACCTGAAGGACGTTATGCTGAGTGAAATAATTCATCCACAAAAGGACAAATACTGTTTGAAACCATTATTATAAAAAGACAGAAGTTTTTATACAAAAAGAGACTTGCTTCAATAGTTTCAGAAGCAGGATAAAGTAAATAACTAACTACAAGATAGGTGCATGTTTACTTGGGTGAAAAGGAAGGCAATAAGAGGGAAGTCAGAAAACTATGATGAAGGTAAAGGCAAGCACTGGCAGCAATACAAGAATTAAAGGCAACACAGGCAAATCTTGCTATATAACAGTCCTACAATCAATAGCAGTAATGTATTAATGGATGCATATAGACATGCAAGCTAAACAGGTGTGGGAAAGAGAATGGGACTACATCCACAAATATGTAGGTTTGGTAGGGTATTTCTACGTCTGTACTTACATATGCTGCAAATATATCTGTGAATACAGTAGAGCATATAAGGACAAAGTTATGAAAACTTAGCTATAACCAAGTTAATTTCTGGGTTTGGAGCCTCAACACGATAGTTTGGGGGCACAACAAGGTCGGATGGCTTAACAGTACACAAAGATAATGTCCTGAAGCTCACTTTGATTAGTAGAGTGACAGGAGTCGTAAAAAAGCTCACAAGTGGCCATCTAAGGTGTAGCTATTGGTTTCTCCCCATCCGGGGCAAAGAAGGGTGAGGATATTTAAAGACATATGAAAATAGTCCAGTGGACTAATGAACCGTGTGAACCTCAGCCTCAACTTCCGTGAGACTGAAAAGCCCTAGATGGCGCCTGATAACTACTATCAACTTCTCTGAAAAAGTTCACAATAGAATGTTTTGGATTGAGTGGGAGAAAAAATGTCGAACAAAACTCAAAATCATAAAAAAAAAACAACCCAGGCTTATTGGTTGGATAGAGACTAGAGAACCCCTGAAATTATGTACCTTAGTCACCCTTCAGTCTTGCGGCTGAACTGGCCCTCAAGTCTCAGTTTTCAGCCCAACAGGTTAGGGAGACATGTAAGGGGAGACATAACCCAAGAGCGATACACACTCCTTAGAATAATCAACCATTTGAGATGCAAAGACCATTTACCCCAGGACAAAGCTCATTGCTGCTGACTAGGAAAGAGAGAGGAATGGAAACAGGTAAAACGGGAGTGGGGGTGGGGTGGAATAAGTGATGCAGTCAGTGACATGAAACAAAGTGTGTATGAATTGTTAAATGGAGCACTGACTTGTTCCATAAACCTTTACTCTATTCACAATTGAACATTTTGAAATACGGCACATGGTTTACTACTGTTGTGCTTTTACTTTGTTTTTTCCTCCTTAAATAGATCGCTAGAGAAAACATGGCTACTGCAATTAGGGAGGTTGGAGTTTGGAGACAGACGAGAACACTCTTACTGAAGAACTATCTAATTAAATGTAGGACTAAAAAAAGTAGTGTTCAGGTAAGTTACATGATTTTTTTCTAAAGTTTTGTTATTGTTTATTGTTTTGATAGGTTCTATCTGATTCATTTTGCTCAGCACAATTTTATTTCTATAAAAAATCCACTGCTGTCTAGTCAATTCTAAATCATAATAACCTTTAATTTGCTTATAATGTAAAATCTTGTTGTATTTTCCAAAGAAAAATAACCGAGTTAACCTAATGTTTTGTTAATGTTAAAAACTTGAATAGTGATTCCTGAATTTAGTTAATTTCCAATATCAATGCTTAATTTGAATCGTTAGGCATGCTGTTCCCAAATAGGTGTTTCTATGGGCTAACATTCTATGGAAAACTTTAGTGGAACATGATTGCATAGTTTTATTCCCTCTGTACTCTCTATTTAATGGTCTCTGGATGTATTTTCTAAGATTACTAGAGTGATGTACCTGTAAGTATATATTAATTTTAAAGTTAAAGCGGTGAAAGAAGACAAGAATTCTGATTAACCAACTACGAAGAATTGTAGTTTATCTGAATTTAAGGAAACAAGTAACTAGCAAGGCGAAATAAAAGTTCATGTCTCTGGATGATGTCCCCTCTCTGGAACATACCATAACAGAAGACAATACTGGGCACACACGGTGGGGAGTTAGTCCAATATGAACCCCCCCACAGTGGGGTGAACCAAGAAGGGAATATAACAGATCAGCAACGGGAGCAAAGCCAAGCCACGAAGACCCTGTGGAGCCCTCAAAATAGACTTCAGACTTAGAGGGGCAGTTCCAGAACTCCCCAAGGGCCAATGGGGAGATAGTCATAAAGGTCAGCGAACAGGCCTGAAATTATGTATGCTTTTTTGCTAGTTATTATTTTTTCTTTTTTCCCTTTTTATTCAGTCTTTTGTTTTTGTTTTGTCTCCATTATTGTTGGTTTCCCTACCTGTAGAAGATAGGAGAAAGCAACAGGACTGCTGGTTCTGGAGGGACTTGCAGGGAAGGAGGAGGCGACGAAGGGAGTGGTGAGAAAACAATGCCATAGACAGGGGAACAAATAGGGAATTAAAATCAACAATGAGGAGGACATAGAGATCCTGGGGGTATTGGAGGAACAGCAATCTACCTGAAAGGAATTACTAAGAGACAGAAGAAAGGTGAGCACAATGGTTAGGCAGGAGGAAGGTAAAAGGAAACAGGAACAGATCTAGGAAATAATGCTACGGATAGAGGTATAAACAGGTATGTACATATGTAAATGCATTAATTCATAAAAATAAAGGTATTGGCTTATGTACCTATTTTTATATGGCAATACACGGAGGTAGTGGATGGACTTTGGGCCTCTGCTCAAGCCCTGCCTCAATGCAAGAATACTTTGTTCTAACAGCCTGGCATTCTGTGATGCTCATCCTCCTGGGTACGATTGCTGAAGACAAAATGGATACACAAGCAAATATGAAGAAAGCAGTTGGTGCCTGGCTATTAAAAGATGTAGTGTCTGGGGTCTTAAAGGCTTGAAGTTAACTAAGCGGCCATGTAACAGAGAAGCAACAGACTCACATGGAAAAAGCACACCAGCCTGTGTGATTATGAAGTGTGGAGAGAAGGGAAGGAAGGGGGAACTGATTGCAAAGATTGTCAACCCTCCCCCACCAACCCAGGGGGACAAACAACAGAAATCCGTGGGGGAAGGGACACAGTGGTTGGTGTAAAGTATGAAAATAATAATAATTTATAATTTACCAAGGAGTCATGAGGGTGGAAAGGAGGGAGGGAGGGGAAAAAAGAGGAGTTGATTACCAAGGGATCAAGTAGAAAGGAAATGTTCAGAAAATATGATGGCAACATTTGTACAAATATGCTTGATACAATTGATGTTTGGATTGTTATAAGAGCTGTGAGAGCCCCCAATAAAATGATCTTTATATATAAAAAATGTTCATGCCTCTTAAAGTGGAGAATAGAATTGACTATTGCTTTAGAAGCATAAATTTAGATAAAGTATGCTTTCTTTCTTTTTTTTTTAAGTTAGTTCAAGGACTGTTTGTTGGCCTTAGGAGTGTTTTCCAGTCCAGTCTGTTGGGGCACCACACCCTGGCCACCTTCAGCATTCCCTGGGGACCTCGCCGCTCTGTTCCCTTGCTGTTCTGTTGCACCCCCTTAGTGTTTTGCCTTGGTGTGGCGGGATCAGATCGGGCACAATTCCCACACTGTGTCTCTGGTGTTGTCCCCTGTAGGGCTATGGGTCAGTGAGGGGCATAATCAAGATTGCAATGGTCTCTGCCTAACAAAGAGCTACCAGTGACTCAGTCTGACTAGATACTTTGCAGAGGGTTTTGGACTCCCACCATCCCCCATAGCCCTCCAAAAATCTCATAATTTTAGCTCTGATGCCTTTTTCCTCTCCATATTCATATTTTGTAATTGTCAACTTTGGATTACACAAGCTTGTCAGCACACTGTTTCTTTGGGGATTGAATTGCTTTTAACTAAGGTCTTTTTGTAATTAAGAAATCCATTACTATTGAATTCAATTCATAGTGATCCTGAACAACAAAATAGAACTGTCCCATAGGGTTTCTTTTCTTTCTTTTTCCCCCCCCATAGGGTTTCTAAGGCTGTCGTCTTTCCAGATGCAGACCCACATCTTTCTCCCACAGAGAAACGAGTGGGTTCAAACCATTGACGTTTTTGCTAGTAGCCAAGTACTTTCAGCACTGTGTTCCTCAAGCTCTTTGTACTTAAGAAAGGAAACCAAATTGATCTCTTTTTAAAAAGTCTTAATTATATTATTGGCTTAGGAATCGTGATAACTTTTGCTGTCAGTGTCACATCTTGTAATTATTGTTTCTTTCCTTTCTCTAGGAAATTCTTTTTCCATTATTTTTTTTATTTTGGTTAATATTAATTAGCATGTTGCATCCAAATAAAAACTATGATGAAGTGCCTGACATAGAACTTAGCCCTATGGACAAATCTATCCTCTCTAACCTAATTCTTGGATATACGCCCGTGACTAATATTACAAGAAACATCATGGAGAAAGTGTCTACTGATCACCTTCTTGATGGTATTGTGAGCTTATATTTATATTTATCTATAACGTGATGCCTCTTCAGTATTGATATGGTTGTTAGAAAGGTTCCCTTTCATCCAAATACAGTTTTATAAATGTGTTAAAATAACTTAATTCGCTGTTTTCTGTTTCTCATGAAATATTAATCATGTCTTCTTGGCAGTCAGGGAATGCATATGTATCTTCAAATTTTATATTGAAAGCTTAAACTGTTTATGAAATGTTCACGTATAATTTTATAGGTTAATATATTGATAGCCAATTTCATGTTGATTCTGATTTTTGTGCAATGATTAAGAAGCTAGAAACATAAATAATACTCTTAAAGCAACAATCTTCCCTAGCTGTCATTTCTTTTTGTGGTGCTCACTGGTAGAAACTGAAGAAGTACTTAGTGCTAGGGATGATTATGGCTAAATAACTGTGCCTGCCTTTCTCAGTGCTTTTACATTTCACAGCGAGACAGGCAGGAAAGCATAGCGAGCAGCAAGCTGGTAGGGTTAGCTCACAAACTTTGAAAGTTTACTATAACACAGATGTAGACCAGATGTATGGTTGTATGAAGAAGCTTCAAAAAATGTGTGGAAAAATTTCGCTAACTTTTCAATTCAATTTTTACAGTCATAGTTACTGAAGAATATGCAAATGAAAATGAATTGATAGTATCCAGTGTGTCTAAGTCCACCAATTTTGTGGGTGTGATTTTCAAAGACTTCATGTCCTATGAACTACGTTTTTTTCCTGACAAGATCCCAGTTTCTTCTATTTATATGGATTCAAGAGGTAAATAACCCTAGTTAAAAGTGTCAAATTAGTCCAATGCTTGTCTTTGCTGCCTCAGTGTTTAGGCAAAATTTGATGATTTTCAGCTTTGGCATTTTCAGCTCTTCTTTGTTTAAGCAGGGAAATTGTCAAGGGCAACATACATATACACAGCTATACTTCCTTTAGCATCCACAATATATTTTGTGAAACAGGATGGTATGCTATTTGGAAGTCTCCCAAATATGTGGGACCAGTGCCAAGACTGCTGTGCTAAGGTACTGTGTGAAACTGACTTTGTTGGCCACTCATGGCTACTACACAGTCTCCAAGGGCTAAGCTTGGCCCTTCCCATCCACTGCTACATGCCTTTCCAGTCTTCCTTTCACTACCACGCTCAGTGGCCACCACCAGAAAGGAGCTGTAGCCTCAGGCCAACAGGGTCATGTGTGTATGGTGTTCTGCTGAGTGGGGCAATGGCCTTGGTGTGGCATACCCCTTAGTGGCTTTGGTGGAATCTGTTCATTTACTGCATGAGGCCAGTGCAGTAAGACAGGCAGCTATAGATGGACACCCCACCTCTTTCCCTCCCCACTACTACTACTCATGGCCAGGGTAATTGTTAGACCCAGAGAACTGGTAAGAGATGTGTTGGATCTTGGGATCTCAGTGTTTAGGAATGTATGTTGCTACATCTTGGTCTCTGATAAAGACTTAACTCTATTGTAACTTTGTTGTTGTTAAGTGTCATCGAGTCATTTCCAACCTGTAGCAACCCTAAGCACAACACAATGAAACATGGACTGGTCCTGTACCATCTTCAAAATTGTTGCTATGCTTGAACCCACGGTGGCAGCCACTGTGTCAATCCATCTGATTGAGAGCCTTCCTCTTCTTCGCTTCCCCTCCACTTTACCAAGCATGATGTCCCTCTCCAGGCACTAGTGTATCCTAACAATATGACCAATGTAAGACAAAGCCTTCCTTGCCTCGGAGGAGCTCTCTAGCTGTACTTCTTCTGAGACTGATCTGCTGGTCCTTTTAGCGGTCTATGGTATTTTCAGTATTCTGTACCAGCACCAAAAGTGGGGACCCAATTCCTGTTTTGTTGTCTGTTCTTAGTCTGGATACTGCTGAAACCTGTTCACTTTGGGTGACCCTGATGGCATTTGAAATACCAGTGATACTGCTTCCAGCATCACAGCCACATACAAGCCACTGAAGTACTACAAACTTGTGATCACAATTGTATATGTGGTCTGATACTACCTAAAAGAATGATAAGCAATGCATACTTATCTATGTATAAAATTATTTCCTATATACATATACATAGTAAAAATACTTTCAAATGTCAATTTTAATAATTTATATATTTCATATAAAAAGTAGTAGCAAAGCACGACTGTTAGATATGATTTTTTAAATTCCCTATTTTTCAATGCAGTTATTATCATATAGCTTTTACTATCAACTATAGATCTGTCTTTAAAATGATAAGGTCTTATAGCCATAAACTTTATTAATTTTGCATATGAAACATGGAAAACAGCCCTGAGTGCTTAAACTTATAAAGAGCTATTTTCATCAGTCACCTCACAACTCTTTCCCTATAGCTGGCTGTTCGAAATCGTGTGATGCTTCTCAGTATTGGTCATCCGGCTTCACAGTTTTACAAGCATCCATAGATGCGGCTATTATAGAGGTAAATATGATAAATATAGTGAATACTAAGCCACATTTTAGTAAACATGTTCTTTACAATAAAATTTGTCTTGACTGATATAAAATATGTAAATCATAGAACTTTTTACACTACTTAAAAAATTGAAATCATAGTTTATAATTCAATGCTCTTCTAAAATTTACTTTACTTGATGATTTTTAAGGATATGATTCATAACTTACAAATATGTTTTACAATTATGATAGATAATATTCATGAAAGACCTATATTTGCAGACTTTACCTCTGGAATACAAGTTAATTACATAAAAATATGAATAACTTTATTTTCGTAATTGTAATAGTGGATTTTATTTTTTATTTAAAGTCATTTAGTATTTATTTGCCAAACACTGCTTCTTTGCTAATATATATCAAATATTAACTCATTTGAAGCTTGAAAAAGCAAATTAGGTGTTGTTATTTTGTCCATTTTATATTTGAAAGTGAAACATAGCATGATTATGTTTCTTTCCAAGCTAAATTGTTGTTAGTTGCTCTTGAATAATTTCTCAAGTCATACTGACCCTCTGTACAACAGAATGAAATATTGTCCTGTCATACACTGCCATTATAAGTGCTGCTGTACTTAAGTCCATTTTTGTAGCCATTATGTCAGTCCATCTCGTTAAGTGCCTTCCTTTTTTCTAAACTGATCTACTTTACCTGCCCTGTTTCCCTGAAAGTAAGACATCCCCTGAAAATAAGACCTACTCACAGGTTTGCCCCTCGCTGAAATATAAGGCATCCCCCCAAAAAATAAGACCTCCCCCAAAATAAGGCCCTCCAAGATACTGTAACTCTAGACTCTGGACTGTAGCCACAGTGCAGCAAGAGCAGACAGGAAGTGTGCAGTCTCTTTTTAATTAAACAATAAACAATGAATGTGTACCGTATTCATCTTCATGGAAAAATAAGACATCCCCTGAAAATAAGACCTCGCGCATCTTGGGGAGCAAAAATTAATATAAGACACTGTCTTATTTTCGGGGACACAGGGTAGCATGATACCCTTCTCCAGGGCTGATCTCTCCTCGTAACATTTCCAAAGTGTGTGAGACAAAGTCTCGCCACCCTCATTTCTAAGGAGCATTCTGGTTGTACTTCCTCCACGACAGATTCCTTTATTCGTCTGACATTTTATAGTATACTTACTATTCTTCACTAACAGCATAATCCAAAGGCATCAAATTTACTTAGGTTTTTACTAATTGTGAGTCAGGGATTTGAATGATGGCTTTTTGCTCCCAAGTCTGTGCTTTTAAAATTATATCTTGCTGTCTCTAAGATTGTATATAAATATTGTAGTTAGATTCTAAAGACATATTTAAATTTAATCTAATATCTAAAAAAATTTCACATTTTCACATAGAAAAACAAGACATGATATTTATTTCAAAAATTCCAATTTTGTGCCTGGACAGGATAGCAGTAAGAATGACGTTCTCTTAGAGTTCAAACAATTCAGATTAAGCTCATGGCTCAGTCTTCAATGTTATATGAATCTGTTTGTATTCGCGTCCAAAATAAGGTAATTTAGATGCTATGTATGTAGACCTTTATCTCTATTAAACTCCATGTTTGGAATATACAGGAAGAGTGATAGAACTGGAATCAAGACAGGAGCAAGAGCCCTATCTTTATTAATTGTTATGTGAATTTTGAAAAATTACTTAAGTGTTGTGTGGTATAATGACTACAATAATAAGACTTTAATTGACAGGGTAGTTGTAAGAGCCAAATAAGATATGTCTGCAGAAGTGTTTTATAAACTCTTCAACATGCTATAAATGCATCATAGTTAAACTATTGTTTTTAGGTGCCGTTTAGTGGGTTTCAACTCATATTACCCTTATGTACAATAAAATGAAACACTGCCTAATCCGGTGCCATTCTCAGATTACACCAATTCAGTAGATAAGATGTTAAGGCAAAGACGATTGTCCCTGAAGTTTTTGAAGCCCCTTTGTTAGGTGTGAGAGCTTGTATTTGTGTTTTGGCCAGAGAACTTCTCCTCTACAGTGCAGATCCAAACACTGGATGAGTAGGTAGAGCAGATCTCCTTTTAGGTATTCAGTTCTAAGATAGGATTACATCTGGTTAGTATAATGGGACATAGTCTTAATATTCTACTTACTTAATAAATATCCACTGCCATCAAATCGATTTCCATGACTAGCAACCATTAGAAAAGAGTAGAACTGTCGGTGTGGCTTTCTAAGGCTGTAAATCTTCATGGGAGTAGAAAGCCTAAACTTTTTGCCTCCTGAGCAACTGATGAAGTCGAACTGCTGACCTTATAGTTATCAGCCCAACCTGTAATCCACTTCCCCAGTGTTGCCCTTACACTCTGAGGAGTTGACTCTCAATTTGCCACTAGGGCTCCAAAAAGAAGAAACCACAGTTAAAGAACATGGTATTTAAAAGAGTATCTTTTGAATAGAGTCATTATTTCAAGGTACTAATAATCATTAATTAATGCCTCAATATTATAGGTGTATATTTTTATTAAAATGAGGGTAGCTGCTTAAGATAATAGCACAATTTAAAAAATATTACTTAATCAGCATTTAGACACTACTCAAACTTTAGACTTTCTGGCATGCCCACAGTATGAATTAAAAGCAACATTTTACTCTGTGTCATGATATTTCGGCTAATCACTAACTTTCAGTTTTATATAGTTTTTGAGAGTTATATTTGTACTTAGTTGTTGACTAAATTCAAGGTCTGTGGTCAGAACTAATTTAATTGATTGTATTTACATTTTCTATTGTAGTTGAAGACCAATATTTCTGTTTGGAAGGAGCTGGAATCAACTAAAGCTATTGTTATGGGAGAAGCTGCTGTTGTAGAAATAGATATCTTTCCCCGAGGAGTAATCTTAATATACCTAGTTATAGCATTTTCACCTTTTGGTTACTTTTTGGCAATTCACATTGTAGCAGAAAAGGAAAAAAAGTTAAAAGAATTTTTAAAGATAATGGGACTTCATGATACTGCCTTTTGGTATGTTTTTAAAGTTTATTATTTAGTGTAATTAACAGTTGTGTTATGTATCAGTAAATCTTGAAGATTATAATTCTGTTCGGTACTTAACGTAATCTTGGCCCTTTTTTGGCTACCATTATTTCCTTTGTTATGGAATTCAAAACTAGTGAACAAAAACCAGGCTTCTACAACTAATTGGCCTATTTTTCTTATATAACCAGTAAACACCCAGCACTTAGCATCCAGCTGATCCTGACTCATGGCAACTGCATGCATTTCAGAACAGAATTGGAATCATGGAGCTCCCTGTGGCTGACGCTGGGAAATAAGTCGCCAGGCTTTTCTTCTAATACGCCTCTATGTGGATTAGAATAAGCAGTCAGGTGCATTGGCCATTTGCACCATTATAGTCTGTTTTCACACTTTTTTATATAGTTAACTATTAGCATTTCATTTTTACCACGTTATGTAATGGATTCACAGTGTATAATATGTTTTCTCTGCTCATTTTCTTAGTCTGTCATTTTGCAGGTAGTTGACTTTTAAACTGAATTGTGTTACCTAAGTATTTTGTGGGTAATTTAACTGGATTACTTCAGCCAAATCTATCTCTCAGCACCTTGGTATTGTCGCTGTTAAATGATTAAGTTAACATTTGGTAATTTAGGTATCTTCCTAAATTACTAGTGATTTTAATATTGACCACAAAATCATAATCTGCTAACTTGAAAGAATAAAAATGAAACAAAATACAGATTCTTCTTGCTATCTAATAGTAGAAACCTTTTATAACCCAAAATGGTTTAAAACGAAGAAGAAATTAACATTAATTTATTCATGAAATATTTTAGATTGCTCCCAGATATAAAAATTAATCTTCCTTATGATTCCAAATAATACGAATAATAACTAAGTAACTCATTGCCATCAAGTCAAATCTACCTCAAAGTAGGATGCTATAGGGTTTTTGAGACTATATTTTTATAGAAACAGTACTTCATCTTCCTCCGGTTGAGTAACTGGTGGACTTAGAGCCACTGACCTTTCAGTTAACAGCCCAGTGCTTAACCACTACACCACCAGGACTCCTTATACAACACAGAAACTTAATAATACAGTTCAAAGCTGCGGTGACCCGGTGCTGAAGTGCTGAATGTACTTCCTGGATGGAACTTGGGGATGCACTCGCCCTGCTCGTCGTCATATAGGAACTGCCTCTTTGACAGCTTGTTGCAGCACGAATGCTGTATCCTAGGGGTTTTTTTGCCTTTTTTCATAAAATTGAAAATCCTCTTCAGATTCTGTTCTGTGAAAACAAGTTCTAATGTCTGCCTTCCATAAGAGGCGAGTGGTAGAGGTAAACTTTCAAAATTCCGAGGTTACCTGTCGTAACAATTCCCTTGAGCTCTGACTTGACAAGAAACTTGAGAAAAGGATAGTTAATTTATTATTGATGTTGATCTCTCCTGGTGTAAAGTTAGTAATTCTCCTGTTGATTGTCCAGGGCGTTTTTACTGTTTGTAGTAACAAAAGCCAAGAAAGGTTTCACTGTAGCTGTGTCCTAAGGAATATCATTAAATTGGCTCATTAAATTCTTTTATATTTAAATAAAATCAGATGTAGTATACATAATGGAACATTCCAGAATGTTAGATTGATATTACTCAAACTGCTATTAATTAGTAAGGTTTTTTTTAACTCTTTGAAAGAATTACTTTTAAAAAATCATTTTATTAGGAGCTTGTACAACTCTTATCACAATCCATACATACATCCATTGTGTCAAGCACATTTGTACATTTGTTGTCCTCATCATAGAATACATATTTTTTTTCAAGCATTTGTACATTTGTTGCCCTCATCATTCTCAAAACATTTGCTTTCTACTTGAGCCCTTGGTATCAGCTCATTTTTTCCCCTCCCTCCTCGCTCCTCTCCCTGATGAACCCTTGATAATTTATAAATGATTATTTTGTCATGTCTTACACTGTCCGATGTCTCACTTCACCCACTTTTCTGTTGTCCATCCCCCAGGGAGGGGGTTATATGTAGATCCCTGTAATTGGTTCCCCCTTTCTATCCCAGCTTCCTTCCACCCTCCCAGTATTGCCACTCTCA